CCCAATTCTTAAAAAGGGAAAAAAGGAAGACCTGGGGAACTACAGGCCAGCCAGTCTCACCTCTGTGCTTGCAAAGATCATGGAGCTGAGCCTCCTGGAAACTATGCGAGGGCACATGGAAAATAAGGAGGTGATTGGTGACAGCCAACATGGCTTCACTGAGGGCAAATTGTGCCTGACAAATTTGGTGGCCTTCTATGATGGGGTTACAGCATTGGTGGATAAGAGCCAAACACATCATCTACCTGGACTCGTGCAAAGCATTTGACACTGTCCCGCATGACATCCTTGTCTCTAAATGGGAATGATGTGGATCTGATGGACGGACCACTCGGTGGATAAGGAATTGGCTGGATGGTTGCACTCAAAGAGTAGCTGTCAATGGCTCGATGTCCAAGTGGAGAGCAGTGAGGAGTGGCATTCCTCGGGCGTCAGTATTGGGACCAGCACTGTTCAATAACTTTGTCAGCGACATGGACAGTGGGATCGAGTGCACCCTCAGCAAGTTTGCTGACGACACCAAATTGTGTGGTGCGGTTGACACGCTGGAGAGAAGGGATGCCATCCAGAGGGACCTTGACAGGCTTGACAGGTGGGCCTGTGCAAACATCATGAAGTTCAACAAGGCCAAGTGCAAGGTCCTGCATGTGGGCCGGGGCAATCCCAAGCACATATACAGGCTGGACAGAGAATGGATTGAGAGCAGCCCTGAGGAGAAGGACTTGTGGGTATTAGTGGATGAAAAACTGAATATGACCCACCAATGTGCGCTTGCAGCCCAGAAAGCCAATTGCATTCTGGGCTGCATCAAAAGAAGCATGACCAGCAGGTCGAGGCAGGTGATTCTGCCTCTCTACTTCACTCTGGTGAGACCCCACCCGGAGTACTGTGTTCAGCTCTGGGGCCCCCAACATAAGAAAGACATAGACCAGCTGGAGTGAGTCCAGAGGGCCACAAAAATGACCATGGGACTGGAGCTGCTCTCCTATGAGGAAAGGCTGAGAGAGTTGGGGTTGTTCAGCCTTGAGAAGAGAAGGCTCCAGGGAGACCTTACTGCAGCCTTTCAGTACCTAAAGGGGGCCTACAGGAAAGATGGGGAGGGACTCTTTAACAGGGAGTGTAGTTATAGGATGAAGGATAATGGTCTGTATTGGGTTCATGTGGCATGGTTTTGCTAGTGGGCAGGGTTACAGGGTTGGCTTCAGTAAGAAGCTGCTGGAAGCTTCCCCTATGTCTGACAGAGCCAATACCAGCCGGCTCTAAGAGGGACCCGCCGCCGCCCAAGGCCAAGCCAGTCAGCGATAGTGGTAGCGCCTCTGTGATAACATATTTAAGAAGGAAAAAAAGTTGTGGGACACACAGAAACGGCATCTGGAGAGAGGAGTGAGAACATGTAAGAGAAACAACCCTGCAGACACCAAGGTCAGTGAAGAAGGAGGGGGAGGAGGTTCTCCAGGCGCCGGAGCAGAGATTCCCCTGCAGCCCATGGAGGTCCACAGTGGAGCAGATATCTACCTGCAGCCTGTGGAGGACCCCACACCAGAGCAAGTGGGTTCCTGAAGGAGGCTGTGACCCCATGGGAAGCCCGCGCTGGAGCAGGCTCCTGGCACGACCTGCAGATCTGTGGAGAGAGGAGCCCACGGAGCAGGTTTTCTGGCAAGACTTGTGACCCCATGGGTGGCCCACGGTGGAGCAGTCTGCTCCTGAAGGACTGCACACCATGAAGGGCCCCATGCTGGAGCAGTTCGTGAAGAACTGCAGCCTGTGGGAAAGACCCACGTTGGAGAAGTTCGTGGAGGACTGTCTCCCATGGGAGGGACTCCATGCTGGAGCAGGGGAAGAGTGTGATGAGTCCTCCCCCTGAGGAGGATGAAGCGGCAGAGATAACACGTGTGATGAACTGACCATAAACCCCATTCCCCATCTCCCTGCACCGCTGTGGGGGTTAGGTAGAGAATCTGGGAGTGAAGTTGTGCCCGGGAAGAATGGAGGGGTGGAAGGAAGGTGTTCTGAGATTTGGTTTTATTTCTCATTACCTTACTCTGGTTGATTGGTAATAAATTGAATTAATTTTCCCCAAGTCAAGTCTGTTTTGTCCGTGACAGTAATTGGACAGTGATCTCTCCTGTCCTTATCTCAACCCACGAGCGCTTTGTTTGTTTCATTTTCTCTCGCCTGTCCAGCTGAAGAGGGGGGAGTGATAGAACGGCTTTGGTGGGCACCTGATGTCTAGCCAGGGTCAACTCACCACACGTTTTTAAACTGAAAGAGGGTAGATTTAGATTAGATGTAAGGAAGAAATTCTCCACTATGAGGGTGGTGAGGCACTGGAACAGGTTGCCTGGAGAAGCTGTGGATGCCCCATCCCTGGAAGTGTTCAAGACCAGGTTGGATGGGGCTTTGAGCAACCTGATCTAGTGGAAGCTTTCCCTGTCCATGGCAGGAGGCTTGGAACTAGATGATCTTTAAGGTCCCTTCCAGCCCAAACCATTATATGATTCTATGATTCTATTCTAACTATTACTGCATGTTCTTAAATGCTTTTTTTATTTTTCTGAAATTTTGGGTCATTACCCATTCTGGTATTTTATATATTAACATTTCAAATAAAATTTTAAAATCTCAAATGTAATTTTAAAGACTACAGAAAAGCTATAATGCTTCTAAAAAAAATTTATTTAAGTTTCATTAAAATTCTCCTGTAGCAAGACTTTACATCTGATGTGGTGGGTTTATGTGTACTATGTATAAGTACACAGTGAGACCTTTTTCAGCATTTTCTGATGAACTGTCTGCATATGTTTAGAAGTTTTATTACAGTGAATTTTTCTTAAACTTGTCTCTTGGTACCACAGAGAATCAAATTGTGAAAACCCTACAAGCTAATTTGAAAAATATATAAACTCCAGTCTACAAGAATTTTTTAATATAAATGTTAGTTACAATATGAAGATAAATATTGAAGCTTGTTACTTTCAGAACTTTAAGAAATAAAACAAAAGAAAGAGAAAAATAAAGTTATTTATATATTAAGTAGAAAATACTGTCATTTTCAGAAACACAAAGGCACGAAAGAGCCTGGAGTCTCAGTTATATTCTTGCAGAGACAATTGGTCTCCCGAGGTTGGGTTTAAGGCATACTGGCAAGGCTGTATATGTTGTATTATTAACAGTGTTTCTACCATTTTTTTATGTTTGCCATTCTAAGTATTCCCTGAGCACAATAACACAAGCGTTTTAAGAAACATCGTTTTAAGGCATTATCATTATAACAGCTATACATTACAGAAGATTGTAAGTCCAAATGCTGCCAACATTACTGGACTAGGCTTGTAGCAGAATGTCAGGCTGCTCTAAAGGAATGCAGAAGTACACAGTCACCTAAAATAGTCAAAAAATAACTTTTAATTTATCTGTAGCCCTCAAGCAATATAACTGGAAAGTTTAAAAATAAATAAACTGTAAGTGAACGTAAGGGAAGACTTTTATGTTCACACTTAGCATCTTAGTTATTGAGGACTTTGTGGTTTTCACATCCATGTGGAATGATACAGAGTAACAGAACCTGACTCAAAACTGATTGAAAAGAGGACTGGAAAGAAGGGTGTAGGTTTCCAGCTACTTTCAGGATGAGAAAACCATATAATGTGTAATTCAATCATATAAAAAGTTTTATCTCAAAACGATCTTCTCATCCCAGACTGATGTCCATTTAAGACTCGTTATCTGAACAGGATGGGTATCAATTACATTTACTTTTACTTATTGATTAACCAAAGACAATATTTCATTATTGTGACAGATTCCCTGTGCCAACCATCTGTCCCAAATAATTCTTTTTTCAATGAACATTTGATATGCTCACCTATTAAATTTTAAAAAACAGCTCAGTTAGAAAAAAGTATGAATAACAATACACTGGCTTTACCATTAGAGATAAAAACCTTTAAGTTGCCTCCGGACAAATAGTACTCATCTGCTGACAAAGGCATGGCACATGGTAAAATGGTGTTGAATGTGTTAGCTATCCTAAATGAATGCATTGTTTATGAATTCAGCTCTAACTTGTTTGCAAGTGATGTGAATTATTAAACCACTTGAGGAACAATTAAAATATATCTTTTTTAAATACATGAGAATTTTTACTTTGTTCACACTTAGGTCTTGCTCCAAAAAGGTACCATTTCACCAAAGCTGCTCACATGCACAAAAATGGAGCTATTTGTCATTTCTGGAACTAAGTTCTCATTTCACTTAATCACATTAATTTTTTTAACAATAGAAATAACCACTATGGTTTATTAAAAATGCTAAATAAAACACAGATATCTAAAGTGTATAATATAAAAAAAAATTCTTAATCACAAAAATTTTTGTGTTTACATTGTGATATCAGAGCTAGAAGCATAATAAATGAAATTTCGTTTTATTTGAATGTAAGATTTCTCTCCTAGGCTGGAAGATTAAAAAAAAAAAAAGAAAAAAAATTTGTGTTCATTGGTGTTTAAGGATACTGTGCAATTAATAATGCCTGCACAAAAATTCTCTCAATATCTGCAGTTCTGGTTTAGATATTTTTTTTGTTAAAAGCCAGTATTTTCAAATCCAGGGGAAAAATATTATTTCCTAGCATTTTTTAATGAATTATGCTAAAAATATCCTTTTCAGAGAATTTAATCAAAGATTCAAGGGCCTGCAACTGAATTTATATTCTGGTTTTGTAGGACTGTTCAACAGAGTATTCACATCAGTTTATAAAAGCCTTCAGCACCTTGAGAGGGCTATAAATTTAAATCCCTGCATTTGTGGATACAGAATTAGCACAATACAGCTGATTTTGAAAATAAGTTTCTTGTTCTGGTACACATTTGAAGGATATGCTGTAAACTGTATTGTAATAATCTAATAACTGCTCACTTAATTAATTAAACTAACCTGTTTTTCTGGAAAGAAAAGGTAGTCTGTGAACTGAAGAGCTGAAATCTTTTGCCTCTTTCAGACTAAACCAGCTAGATGGGCTCTGACTTTCTTCCAAGTTTATAGGAGGAGACTGGTCCAAGACTGTAGAACAAGCAGAGGCAGCATTAAGCTGGAAAAGAGCATTTTGCGCTTTCTTTTTTTCTTTTTTTAGCATATTTACCAGAATATCTGCAAGATACATTAAGGAAATCATTAAGGACCTCTTTTTTATAAAGAAACAATCATCTTTGTTCATCCCTAAGTCTTTTTTTTCCAAGTGGAACAATGCACATTATTGAAGCCTATACATGAATGTGAATTTGGATTTTGACGTAATTCTTTGTAATTATATTCATCCACCTTAGTTTTTCCAAAGAGCAGATTAATTTTTACTAAACAGTAACAAACTCACACATTGACCACAATTGTTGATCCCATTCAATCAACCCCTGTTAAAAGCATTTACAGACAAACAGGAATGAAAACTCTAATTCTTATTGCCATTGTGTGACACTCCCTTTTTTATTTTTTAAATTCTGTAATAAACAAAATTTCCAAGCAAAAGAAAAAAACCCCCTTAACTTGCAAGTAGCCTGGCAAGTGTATCTTTAAGCTTTTCACAATAAGAATTCTTACTAAAATGCAGAAAAGGTCTTTAGGAAATTTATTCCAATAACACTATGCATTTACTAGAACTATATTTGGTGTAAATACATTGTGTCTAACAGCTTATAGAGGGCTTACAATGAAAATCCTATGTGCACTCAGCCAGAACCACAGGAGTCTGTGATATGTTTTTTGATATGCTATTCATTTTAATCCTAATTAATCCTCTAAATGAACAGCAGAAAATCTAAGTAGTCTTTGAGGAATATTATTAACTGGACTAGGTAGTAATAATAAAACACTTTACAATTCAATTGTTATGATAGATCCCAGATACCATAGGCAGGAAGGACCTCATAGTTTGTTTATTTTCTAATGATGATGTACAGTCACTTAGCAGCTGCAGACTCTGTGAATCAGTGTTGTGTACAAACTCTTAATTTTTATATTATTCCTATATAACTCTAACATGGATTTACACAAGTTTCCTCCTTGTACTTCTGCAAACAAAGCTGTATATCTATCAAGCACAAGTGCATTTGATAGAGATGTTTTGCTTTTTTTTTTCATTATCAATCTCATACTAATGAAATAATTTATTTCGGGAAGAAATGTTTCTGGGAATCCAGACCATAAAATTGACATGAAAATTGAAGAATTTTTTAAAAGGAATGATAAGTCAGTGTTATAACTAAATTTATTTGAAAGTGCACCTTGGAAAATGAACATCTTATCTTCTGTCACAGAGCAGAAATAGAGAAGCTTTCCTGCCACCTCAATTCCGACTGGTAGCATGCTACATCCCGATGTAAAAAGGCATTCTCATTTGACATAAAATCGATCTGGAATTCTTGAGCACAAAGAATGCAAGTGAGTTTGCTTTTTACTAATAACCGTAAAAGAATCTGTTACCTATAAACTCAAAACAAAAACAAAACCATTTTTTTAGTTCTCTGCCATCTCGAAATTTTACCCACCAAGTAGCCACAACGTGAGGGACAGAGTGATGCTGTGGTCTGCCCACAGTTCTGTCAACCTGCTAAAAACAACTCCCAGCCATGATGCAACAGTGCAGCTACTTGTGTGTTTCCTGTGAAGCAGTGAAATGGACAAATCACATCTGAACAGTTTAGTATTTTTATATGCAAAAAGCTTTAGCTTTAATTTAAATTTTAGAGTTGCATGTAAAAAGTACAATTTTTATATTTATTCTAAAGGCAAATAGCCTCATAGTCCCCAAAGTAGCACTTCATTTGGCTAAAAATAATACAGGAAATTCTATTCTTTTTAAGGTAATAAGTTGGTCTTTATATAGTATTGGAGTTTCCTAGTCTAAAAAATAGTTTAATTTGCTTGAGAAGAATGTTTTAGGTGTGGCCTGATCCACAGTATTTGGATCTTGGCTGGACCGTTCTAAAGCTAAGTGGTACCTGGATCCAGGATTTTGGTTTGCGTCACAACTGAAGTAGAAGCAGGTGCAAAGCAGAAGTCCAGCCACATAAAAGTCGGAACTGAGTAATTGCTTTAACACAGTGGGGTCAGTAGAGAGAATTTCCTTCCATACAGCTAATGCCTATCTCACACACACAAAACCCATTGTAGCCAGATCAGCTCAAACCCAAATATTATTTTTTTCCTCACAAAGGATACTGATTTCATTGTCTCTTTGCTGCAGAAGTTCTTTCAGTTTTTTCAATTCTTCTCCTGTTTCTTTGTTAGTCTCTTTTTCTTCAGGGATGTATTGTGAGAGCAGCTTTTTATCAGAAATCTTTGAATGATTCATTAGTTGCTATTAGAAGAAAGAAAAAAAGCACACTTTTAACTTTAGCTCCAGCTATGTATTTGTTCTACTCTGAGACTGTGTAGCTATGGTAGAAAAGCTAAGGCCTTCCTAAACTCAACAGAACAAAATCATGCCACTAGTTGACTGTCAAGTTATATGCATTGTGTCAAGTATGGGACAAGTTCTATGTGTGGATCTTTACTACCACATGTACAATTTACTTTACTCTTTCTTCACATAGGTTCCAGTGTTCTCTAGTACCACAGAGCTTTCAGTATTAATGATATAACTAAAACCTAATTATTTAAAGACAATAAATTAAGATCAGGAATGTATACATCATTATATTGGAAAACTATATCCCAAAATACAGAAAAGTATATATTATCTTCTATTGCTTTCCCTATTAATTTCACCTGTTCTTCCTAGTTTAAGTGTATCATGTTTGCTCAATGATTTAGAAGGGCTTACAACACCAACAAAAGAGTTGGGAATACAGATGGCTACATCTATCCATATACAAATAGCTTGTCTGTGTTGATTCCAATAACTTCCAATGCTCTCTTACAATTTACTGCATGCCAAGATCCTTAGTGGGCATGCTGGTTTTGGCTGGGATAGAGTTAATTTTCTTCATAGTAGCTAGTATGGGGCTATGTTTTGGAATTGTGCTGGAAACAGTGTTGATAACACAAGGATGTTTTTGTTACTGCTGAGCAGTGCTTACACAGAGTCAAGGCCTTTTCTGCTTCTCAACCCACCCCACCAGTGAGTAGGCTAGGGGTGCACAAGGAGTTGGGAGGGGATACAGCTGGGACAGCTGACCCCAGCTGACCAAAGGGATATTCCAGACTATATGATGTCATGCTCAGCATAGAAACCTGGGGGAAGAAGAAGGAGGCGGGGGACACATTTGGAGTGATGGCATTTGTCCTCCCAAGTAACCATTACATGTGATGGACCCCTGCTTTCCTGGAGATGGCTGAACACCTGCCTGCCGATGGGAAATAGTGAATGAATTCCTTGTTTTGATTTGCTTGTGTGCACGGCTTTTGTTTTTCTTATTAAACTGTCTTTATCTCAACCCACAAGTTTTCTGACTTTTACTCTTCTGATTCTCTCCCCCATCCCACTGCAAGGGGAGTGAGCGAGCAGCTGTATGGTGCTTGGTTGTTGTCTGGGGTTAAACCACGATAGTGGAGTTTCCACAAAATGCTGCTGAATTTTTCCAACTAAGTTTCACTTGTCTATCAGTCCTCCATGCTCTTCACAGTTCAACTGTTTTACCCCTTTGCAATGCCTCTCAACTGTATTGCATTTCTTTTGACACTTTTCAACTGTGAATGTCTTCAAGTTATTTTCAGTGCCAGCTGCACTTCCATCTATGTTTAAAAGAAATACCTTCACATGAATGAAGCAATACTTGATCTTGCGCATGTCAGCACCAACATCCAGAGTGCTATCAGGATCATTATCTTCAAGAAATGTTTCAAGTAACTCATCCAACCTGAAAATACATAGCATTTTTAAGGAAAAAAAAATAATCACAAAGAAGCAGACAACTCTGTAAAGTAATGTGTCAAATACAATACAGGATTTACCAAGCTGACTGTTATTAGTAGGCTATTTTCCTTCAAGGTCCGTGCAATTGCAATGTACTTTTGTTCCTCATACTAAAACCTGGATTTGATACTGGAGATTCTGCACTCTGTATCAGAACATACTTGCACATGCTAAGGAATAGTTCCAGAACTAAAAGCATCTAAGAAGTAGATTTTCTCATTTATTTTATAACCTTCTGTTCTTATATCATCTCATAATTGAAAAGATCTAAAGCCTACCCTCCCAGAAGACTAGATTTTTAGAGGCCTTGGGCATAGGATTTTTTAATTTATATGGCTATTTGTGCAAGAGAAAAATCTACTTCCTTTTCTATTATAAGAGTCAGCAGATAGCATACCTTTCATACATAAAATTACCTGCTCCAATCACTAAGCAAAGCAACCTATCTTTTGATGCACATATTTATAGATTTCCCAATGACCTACTGCTCTTCTTCTGATTAATGAAATTTAGTTAGTATCTTATTCTCTTGCAATTTGTTCTTATTTAACAAACATCTGACAACATCTTCTTTAGGGAGGAGCAATGCTTATCTTGGTAATTCAGTCTTCATAAGAAAATCTGGGTCACAGAAGCATCCTCTTGTTTTTTCAAAACCAAATTAAAATATTCAGACTGGATACCTACAGAGTGATAATATACCATGCTCCTGGGCTGCATGTCACAGCTATATGGATAGACTCAGATTTCCTCTTGCATGCTCACACCAGCTCTCCAGGTCTTGCATTCCAGGATGCATGGGAGATCATCCTCAAGATAAAGGGCAAAGGAATTCTAAACCAAAACTAGCCCTTAGCCCTTTTACTACGGTACATTTCTGGAAAATAGGAAGTGCAAGTTTGAACTCCATCAACCAGTTTCAGATTAAAGGCTTCCTGGTCCTGACAAATGCTGTTACCATTAACTTAGTAGGCAAATGGTCGGCAACAATGACAGCCATATGCCCTGTAAAGCATAATTCTATGATTTTAAATGTTTATTTAGGCTATTATCCTCAGAAGATGAACTTAGGTTCTGAACCTGACTAAACCAAGGTATCTAAGGTACCTGCATCAAGTGCCCCACTGCCAGAGAAGGGCAGGAGTTCAGAACCATCTCAGTGCCTAGTGTTTATTTTGGACTAGTTTTGTTCAGCTCCTCATTTAATACACAAGCCTTCTGAATGTTACTTAATAGTCATTTATCCTTTTCAGTTACAGGACTGGAGATCTTGTTGCATTTGACTATCTGAATCACTTTACTGTAACCAAATACCAAAATTTTAGGCATTAAAATATCACAGTATCTAAAGTTGACCCTGAAGTAGGTGGCTGGGATATTGCCCTGCTTTTGAAGAATTCTCTTACTGAGATTCCTCACATTACTATACTGTAGTAACAATTCCCTGCTGGAGGGTGAAACAATGAGATACACAACAAACAGAAAAAAAAAAAATCATTTTCAGGAGATAAACACCTGAAAATCAGGAGCCGTAAAACTAGACTGAAAATTAGAAAACATAACAGATAGGTTTGGTTATTTATCTCCTCCAGAGTTCACTATGGCAAAGTGTCAATTCTCAAAACAGGAGAATTTTTTGAGAGAAAAGAAGAGAGTAACCCTCAGTTAGTTTCAGATAAACTATACTTTCCTATTTTCATTATTTCATTTAAAGAACAAGAGACAAATCTGTTGTCTATACCATTCATCATATGTGCAAAATTCACATCTTCTGAATTTATAGAACACTCCCTGAAGTCAATGTGAGCTGTATCTGTGGAGGGCTTAAAGGAGAGGATATTTAAAGAGAAATATTAGTTACAGAAGCATTACTGGCATTGACTTGCTTCTCAAGTTAAGAGACTACAAAAATTACTCAGTAAAAGAGACCAAATTTTACTTATTGCTACATGATTTTTTCTTCATGAAGAGTCCAACAGAACAGAGGCCAGTAGTACAAGAGGTTATTCATACTCTTTGCAGACACACTAAGCACAATGAGCAGGACAATTAATCCTTCATATGTGAAGGTAGGCATTTGTGTAAGCACTGGGAAAAGAGATGCATTTATACTACTAATGAGAATGCGACAGACACAGAGAAAGTTAGTATTTGTCACTATCTTAAGCACCTTACTGATTACAGTGAGTAAGAGAAAACAAGTAAAAAATATTTTTTATAACTAGACTGTCTAGACTGACTATATGAAGTCATCTATAAAAACGGGCCTTTAACCCTGAACTAGAAATTAGAAGGGGGATATTTTAACCTTACTAAGATTACCTGTTTGCCAGGGATTTACCCATACTCAGATTACCACAGATTTAGGCTATGGGAATCAATGAAAAAAATTACACTAACTTGCACCATTACCATTACCAGAATAACACTACAGAAAGTTAAAGTATTTCAAGAGAAAGAATAAGAATATATAATTCTTGTAAAATAATACTCTATTTTGAAAATTATTATTATTTGCCAGTCAAGAGTCAAGGTTAATTTGTCAAGTAACAAAATAGACAAGCTGTAGTTATAGATATCAGCTGCTATTTCCTCTGTCTTACACTACCTTTAATGTGTTTGGCATTCTCGAAAGAATACAACGGCCCAATTCATTTTTTGTGTCCCAAGGACTACATAGAAGCCAAAACAGATTTAAGCACTAGAAGACTGAGTCAAGTCTGAAACAGCAGAATGTAAATCAGAAGTTATAAACCAATTGAGCCTCTTTGCCAATTCTAGAAAACAGCAGAATCTTCACTGTATTTTAGATACATTTTTAAAATTTCACCTTTAAGAATTAGAACAAGAACAGACCAACGTAGTCTAAACACTATGGACAAAAACAGAAGAAAAAGAAAAAAAAGAAAAGCAACAGTGAAAATCCCCATGAATACCAGCAACAGAAATCACCACATCCTTCCCATTTTTTTAGGTTTCCATGTAAAAATTACCAGAACTCTTTCTAAAATAAACACACAGTCTGACAACACTCTGGATATTCTGGGAGTTCTTCCAGTATACTGAAGTATTAAACAAAGGTAAAAAATAAACTGACAATGTGATACAGATGCAACTTTAAATTTTTCTTCTTAATGAACAGATCTTAGTTAACTTAACCTTTTTTTTTTTTTGTCCAAGTGATTTATCAGCTCAAGGACTATGAAAACACTTAAAACATTCTCCTATGAATTTATACACTGGCAAGATTTGCAGTTTACAAATGAAAAAACCCCAATGCTACTTCAATTCATTTCCAGAGATGTTCACAGAATAAATCAAGGAAAGAATAAAGAATAACAGGAAGAGGGGAAAGAAAAAAAAAAAGACAGAGAATAAAGAGAAAAAAAGGAATACTGACCGTACATTTTCTTTTTCATAACATGTATTAGACCAGGTAGATCTGCTTGCTAGGTGACTCGGAAACAAAGGACAATATAATTCTACAAGATGAATATCCTGTTCCTGACTCAAACAGTTTATTATATTTATCTGTATAAATATCTATAAAAATAAAATTAAATATATGGAATATATGAAAACTAGAGCACAGAATTATATAAAATAGGGCAGTAAAAGATTTAAGAAATTCATATAGAGCATCTAGAGTTATAACTCTGACACATTCTTTCTAGTCAAAACATCACACACAGGCTGTAGTCATCCTCTTATTAAAAAACACAAGTGAGAAAACCCTTTTTATAAGTAAAGGAGAGCCAAAATGGCTTTTGGTTTTCATTCAGTTACTTTCAGGAAGTGGATAATATCTTTTTCCTTAGCAATAATAATATCTTCTGAGATAGTCACCTAATCTCTGATCCTTAATTCTCTACCAGAGGAATGCATATTAAACAGTTTTCCTCCAACCTAAGACTGCTGCAAGAATATACATCAGCAAGAATCAAACCAGAAAAACACATAGAACGGCCCAGCACTGAACCAAGTTGGGCCTAGATGTTCAAGAGGAACAAGAAACCCATAGGGAACAAGAAATCCAGGAACCCCCTAGCAAATCATGCTTTAGTTGCCTACTCAGAGGCATGCATATGTGGCAGAGCAAATGGTATATGAAATCATGAGGTAAAATAACAATGTCTTTTTTCTTAAGGACTTTTTTCACCTCCGTCATAGTAGAATAACTATAAAAGCATAAAAACAAAGTGGTTTTGGTCAGTTGTTGTGGCTCAGCCCTGACACCATATACCTAGAGTTCTCTTAGATAGTCAGTATGTTCTATTTCCTGGAAAAGTTGATAACTACAGTTTCTTTCCAAAAAAGACCTGAGCAATCAATCCTTGTACTTACTGATGACCAGCTTCTGCTACTATGCCAAGGATAACTGTTAATATTTGCATGCCCTCTCAAAATAGAAATTAGGAAATAAAGCTGCCCAAAGAAGGGAGTTTTGAAAATGAACTTGCAAAAGGAATGAGTATGCTTGGCACAGAATACATAACATATTTGAAAAATTTCTAAGTTTGTGACTGAGCTTTTCTTCTCCCAAAACATCCCAGGCTGAACGTTAATTTCCCACTATACCTACTGCCAAAACTCAAAAGGAAAATAATTTAGAAAAATCAAAGACATTCATGTACGTAGGTTCTAAGACATGGCTGAGGGTGCCACGGTAACTCATAAACTAGAGGGGAGGAAAAAAGCCCAACACACTTTCGTTAAAGCTTACTAATGAAAAACAGATAGGATCAAGCAGAAAAAAATAAACCAATCAAGAAACATACAACCCCCCCTTCCATAGTATTTATGAACACTATTGCTTGCAGGATGACATTTTTCATTTTCTTTCTTGATTTTTTATTTATAAAGACTAGCACTACAGCAGTGCTGGACTTTATTGTTCTTATATGAGACATGGACTGCAGCAGAAATAAGTTCTTGTTTTGGTGT